CCCTCCTTCTCTATGGGGGCTCAATGCCCCCCCTTCTCCCTCCAACTTACCTGCAGGAGCTGCTCTGCAGGCTGCCTGGGGCTGACCACCCTCCTCCCTCTCCCTCCCAGCCCCCTGCAGGCTGGAACTCTTCCAGTCTGCAGTGGGCTTCTCACAATACTGCAGAATTCCCAGACTTCTCCTGTAAAATGATTCCAAAAACCGAATATTGTGATTCTAATATGAGCAATTTTTTACATGTAATAATATACAAATGGTTTTGGTTTCCCCATATTGATTCAAATAAGCGGCTGATTCTATTAACCAGCGATTCTATAAAGGGTAATCTACTGTATTTGTAAAGCTTCTAGTTTCTTTTTAACTGGAGAAAAACATGTTGTATTATATATGATGATGTAACAGACCATCTGCATCCCCTTTTCAATATTCTTGATCTACCTCTGGGCACAGACCAGAACCCAGGTACCTCTCTCTGCCAGAGCAGCATCCATTCCACTGAGCCACACATGTTCTGGTTTGTCCTCTTTCCCCTGACTGTGCTCACATCTCCCTCACCTTGGCTGCCCAGAGGGCCAACTTCAAAAGGAGGGCTGGAGAGGGAATTCGGTGAGTGCCTTATCCACTAGGTTGTTGAGCTAAATATGTGGGAGGGCCCCCTCTCCTTCTACTTTGGTGTCAAACACCTGCCTCTCATGGGTTTTTGCTAAGTACAGGTTTGTGACTTATATACAAGGCAGGCATGCATGTTTTTAAATCTTGCACCACTAGTTCATCTTTTCTCTCTTCTTTCCTTGCCTACATTGCACACTGATCACTGACTGCAAGGAACATTAGAAATAATTTCCATGAGAATCTCCTTTTTTTTTTTTCCTTTGGGTCATCAGGTCTCTTATACCTAATGAGTTATAAATTCTTTCTGTAGGAGTCTGTTCTATGGTCTCTAGGTGCACAAAAATTAGTAAACTATTTTTTTTTCTGGGTGAATATGCAGAGAACAAATAGTAAGTAGGCATTACGAAGTCAGCATTCACTAGCAGCTACCAGAATGTAATATCTGAGTTACCACAGTTATTTCCTTTATTGAGTACATGGGAAATGCTGTTCTGTGTCAGTTATCTCAGTAATGGTCAGTAAATACTGATTTTTAAATGTGGTTGGTTTTTGAAGACCATTTATAAAGCCTAACCATGCTTTCCCTTTAGATTTGCAGCAGGTGAATAGGGAAGGAAAAAAGAAAACCTGCCATAATGTTGTCGTTGTGTGTGTCATGAAACATTCTCTCTCTAATATAAGACTTTATCTTGCATATGGCCATGGACCTTGAGCTATCGTTAACTTCTACAGGAGTGGAAGACACTCAGCACCGTGTAGCATACTAGTCCTCAGTACCAGAGATGAATGTTCTCCATAGGACTTGATCCTGTACTGTGAAAGTTAATGGGAATTTTTCATTAACTTGAACAAAAGTAGGATCGCGTCCACAGTCAGCATCAGGCTTTCTCAGCTTTTAAACTATTTGTATATTTGTCATCTGGAGCAGGTAAAGGAAAGTTGCATTGATTGTTCTTCATGTTCCCATGGACAATGAATGAATGTTTTTTTTACTAGCATTGCACTCCATAGTACAGCATGCGATAAAGGAGTTCTTTTGTTTTGTTTTGTCTTTTACAATGAATATAACTAATAAACAAACTGCCCCATTGGTCACAACAGTTCCACAAATTACACTGGTTTAGCTTTACAATGCAGTGGACTTTTTTGAACTACACTAAACATTTCCTGAACATTTCCTTCCTTTATATAGTCTATTTGGTTTGATTTGGGGGTAGCAACTGGAATGATGGGGTTGAAAGTTAATCACAAGGAGGAATTTCCAGAGAGGATAATAGGGTTGCCAGGTAAACAGATTCAAAGGTGATATTCCAGTTTATGGAGTAGTACAATCAGGGGTGCAAGGTTAGCTATGGCAGAAGCCTCCCCATGCTATGTGTCAAAGTACATTTCAAAGGATATCTCCCTTTCAATTTACAGAACAAAACAGAGTGACTGCTTTTTGGTTTTCTTCTTTTTGTTGCTTCAGATGGCAGACCTTAATTGGTGGACTTCTGCTTCACATTTCTTGGAAGCTGGGCTGGGTAGAGATAAGCATCTGCTCAAGGTACAGTGACCACCACAATGCACAACTAACATTTATTTTTGACGCAGTGGGTCATGAGACTCTTACTGTGCATTAGGCTAATACATTGTGCAGTAGCGTGTCACAGCAAAAACCATGCTAATAGCCTACTGAACAGTGTTATAAGGCTAATGCACAGTAAGTGTCCCTAAATAACCATGCACTGGTGCTGCAGTGCATGCAACAGGAGACCAGCAGGCACAGAAGCTTGGTCCTCCAGGGAGTTACTCTGGGTACTGGCCAGAGCATCTCTACTCATTTAGTTGCATCCTGGCTCCTCCAGCATGCCAGGAGGAGCAGGGAAAGGGCAGTTTGCCCAAAGCAGCAATTTGTCCCACATCAAAGTGGGAGCAGGGGCATGCTCTGTGGCAAAAAATAGTGGCACAATTTGTGCTGCTACCATTTTTGCCTCTGCAAGTGCACAACCCTGCATGTGGGGATGCACTCCTTGTGTTGCACTTAATGGCAGTTAGACAGTGAGTGCAATTACCATATAGATTACCAGAACACAGATCTACTCCCAAGTAAAAAGTTGGATGCATCTTATGAGTGACGTGAGGGTTTTTCATGAAGAGCAAGCAGTGATAACTGATGGCATGGCAGGTTAGTTGATGTACATTTTTTTTGCATTTAAATGGGCAACTTGTGAAATTTCCATGGCGATATTAGTTGAGTGAATCTCAACAAAAAAGCATGTGCACATTATGAAAAAGAAAAATATTAAATAACTGAATATACTAGTTTTTCACGGAATAATTTTTTTTATGAGCACTGGCCCAAATTTTGGTTTTACTTACATGAAATTGCACAAATTTTAGTGAGATTTCAGAGTAAGTGGTAGTAGAATTTGACCCTGTAGGTAATTTGGATAAGTGGGAATATTTTAGGTTAAAGTTTTCATTGATTTCAATGGGAATAGGATTCGGCTCTAATAGTCTTGCTCCAGGGGGATAGTAGGAGGTGTAATGACTAGTACTGTTAATAAGCTTTTATTATGTAGGCATTTCTCTTTGCCCTAAACTCATTCTGGAATTGCTAGAGCTAGTTGGAAAATCATATCTTCCCATAAAAAAAGCTGATGAAAGCAAAAAATTATTGTTGTTTATTTTCTTTGTAAAATACACATTTTTTGTCAAATGATGAAAAACACCACCAAAAACAAATGGGGAAAATGTTATATATGTGTTTTTCTTTTAATTCAATGAAAACTTGAGAAATTTTGAAGAAAAAATGGACATCATTTTTTGTTTGTTGAAAAGTCATTTTCTATGAAGAAAAGTTTGATTTATAAATTTACTTTTACCAGTTCCAGGGGTGTAGGTTGTAGCCATGTTGGTCTAAGGACATAAGCAAACAAGGTTCTTTGGGTGAATCGGATATCTTTTATTAGACCAACTTAAATAGATGGAAAACAATTTTTAAGCAAACTTTTGGGTTCAAAAACCCTTTGTCAGGCTAAGGAAGTTTCAGCAGTTGGTGTGTGCTCTTCCTGGATGGAATAAATGGTAAAGAAGCCAGAGGCTGGGCTGGTATGCATACAAGATAGGCAGTAAGTGAAGATGTAGATTAAGGAGATTGACTATTTAAGTTGGTCTAATAAAAGATATCAGATTCACCCAAAGAACCTTGTGTGCCTTTTACCCGTTCTATTTTTATATCGTGGCAATAAAGGATTAGAGCCACTAGATGGTAGTCTACTCTTGGAAAACTGAGCACGACAATCCCTGAGACGCTTAGCGTTTTGTGGAATTGATTTTGTATGTCAATGACTAAATTAAATAATCAGGGATAGTCGGTGAAATAATCAGGGATAGTTGGTGATTAAATTTCAGTAGAGCACTTAAGTACAGGCTTAAGCATGTCTCCGTTTAGCAAAGAATGTGAGAATATGCTTAAAATGTTAGCACCTATTTTAGTGTTTTGCTAAATTAGGACCCTAGTCCAGATCTCTCTCATACAGATGTGTGGTCCTCTGTAGCTTTCTTTCACTACTGTTTCCTAACAATGCCCCCCCCCAGTATAATTAATACATTCTGGAAGAACATGTTTGTCTTCAGAATACTGGCCTAATGATCTGCCTTTTCTGTGTAAAGTGTAGGGGTAGATGCCACAAATACTGTATCCAGTTTCCAACACTTCTGTATTGGAAAGATGTACATCTTTAGCAGTTTAACATATGTGTAGGCTCTCAATTTCTTCAGCTGCCTGACAGATCTTAAATGCTTCCTGAACAAATCTGAATTCTCTCTCCAAATACCTCATAATTTTCTAATACATGGAGGTTTACATACTGTCATTAAAGACTAACAAACCCCAAACTAGGAGTTTCATAAGAAAACAACGCATGCTCAGTTCCATGCTCTATGTTGCTTAGAGGAAGTTTTCTTTAGCTTTCTGGATGCTCCACATTTTTTTTTACCTGCTTTCTGGCCCCACTCCGAAAATGAAGGATTGATTCACCTTCCTCCTGATTTCAGGAGCCTGGCTGTTAGAGATGCACCAATACATTGGTCCAATATTGGATCAGTACCTATATAAAGAAAATTGTCTATATCAAATAGCAGCCCAATGGCATGGAGAGCTGCCTCCAGCTGGTAAGTCGGAAGTGGGGGTGGAAGGAAGGGGTTTGGGGAGGCAGATCAATGCCCCCCATGGTGAGGGAGTGGGCAGGGGCAGGCGCTGCCCAGCCAGGGGAGCGTGGGATGGAGGCATGGCTCATGAGGTGGAGGCAGCTCCGCTGCTGCTTGCACCCCAGGAGGGTGGCGGGGCTTGTGCCCCTGGATCTGTGCAGCTCAAGGCAGGCTGTAGTTGCAGGATGGAGCCGGAGCCAGTGCTGCATGGGGCTATTCTTGCCGGGGGTGGGGCTTGGGCAGCACTGGGAGGAGGCTGCAGCCACCTCAAATTTTACTGCAGCTCTGCTCCCAGCCCTACATTGCTGCCCACTGCCCGGCACAGCCATGGCTTTTCCCGGCGTTTGGGTGGAGGCAGGGTGTTCAGCCGGGGCTACACTGGGCGGCAGTGTGGGGCTGGGAGCAAAGCTGCAGTGAAATTTGGGGTGGCTGCAGGCTTCCAGCACTGTTGCAGCCCGCTCTGATCCCAGCCACTGCCAAGAACAGCCCCATACAGTGCCGGCTCTGGCTCCACCCCCCAGCTGCTGCCCACCCTGTGCCACACATACCTGGGGGCACATGCCCCACTGCCTCCACCCTCCTGGGGTGCAAACAGCAGCAGGAGCTGCCCCCATCCCACAAGGCACGCCTCTGTCCCATGTCCCCCCCCCACCCTGGCTGGGCAGCACCTGCCCCCTCCCTCACCATGGGGGGCATTGATCTGCCCCCCATGCTCCCTTCCCCTCTCCCCTTCCACCACACTGGACTTACCACCTGATGGCAGCTGTATCAGATCGATATCAGCTGATATGCCTCCTTAAATATTGGCTATCGGTATTGGCCCCCAAAATCTCTATCCGTGCACCTATACTGGCTGTAATTTTCAGTAGAAGTTAGACCAGGAAGAAGCAGTTAGGAGAACTGGAGATATTCCTTCTCATGGAATGGTGTATAACATCTCCTTAGTACTTCCAGTATTGTATGTACTGTGTTGCAGTACTCTGGGCTTCAAACTGTAGTCATTCAAAGAAAACATCATCTGCAGCCTAGCTTTGCTGCCTGCTGACTACCTTGTCTTACCAGCATTGCTGAATGACGAGACCACTTATTTCACCTGCGGCTAATTATCCCACCTGCACAAGGCTAGGGACAGACATTCAAAAAGCCTAACCTGAATTGATTCAATCTTTACAGAGTAGTCTAACCTGGCTAAGCTAAACTGGTATGCAACTGTACAGACATCCCAGAAATGCAGGCACATGCCTGCAGTGGCTTGGGCTAGAAGCCAGGGGGCCAGCCTTCCCTTCCCTTCCACAGTTCTGAGCTGAGGGAAGGAATGCCTGGTTAGGGAGGGGTTCCCCCCACCTCCTGAGCAGCCCAGCAGGCAGTGATAACACAGTGTTTATCACCCCTAACTCAGTGTTTATCACCCCATTCAAAAAACAAAAGCTTCCTTCCATTAGTTCAAGCTCTTTCCAAGGAAGGAAGGAGCTACCACAGCAAACACTGTAGCCAGTATGTGGTATGCTAGCTAATGCTGAGAGGTGTCTGTGTAAGGCAGAGGGGGAGGGGGAATCCTTGCTTAGGTGCAAGGAGAGCTGGGGAGCAGGGGGAAGCCAGGCAGATGCCTGCAGTCTCTGCCGGAGCTCCAGCCAGGGAGCAGAGAGGAGGGGCCAGCTCTGCTGTAGAGCAGAGCCCAGAGAGCATGTCGGGCTATTGGGGGAATTTGGTTTATCTTGAAACAGGAAGGGGTCTAGGACAGACATTGCATAAACTAGTTTGATCAAAATCAATTAAGTCTGATACTACATTGAACCATGTTTATTTCAAACCAGTTTCAGCCATTTTCAAACTGGTTTATGTGCACTGAACATCTGTTCTGTTACAGGCTTAAACCAGTTTCTGATTACTTAAACTGGTTTATGTGTGATGTCTGTCCCTAGCCATAGAAGCAGTGTGGCACTGCTTTCTAGTTAGGAGGCAGCCTGCCTAGAAAAGTGCATGGTGTCACAGGGTGCTGCTGATGGGTGGGGTAAGTTTAGTGTATAGATGTAGCCTAAAGTTCTGCTGCTCAGTTTGTGCTAAAGTTTCCTAAGCATTGATGCCTCCCCACAGCAAGCAAGCATCTCAGGGCCTTATCACCAACCAAAGCTCCTGAGTGGGATTCTCAGACTAGGTGTTATTTTTCTTCCTCACACGGATGGCCAGTTAACAGTGGGATGGTTAACATGTACTCTGGGTATATAATGCACTCACCTAAGATGTGGGTTTAAAATGTGTGTGTTCTTGATTTGGACCAGGGATTTGAATTTAAGTCTTCTGAGTCCCTGATGAGTGCCTAGACCCTCTAGGGATTTGTAGGTTATTCTGGGCTGAGGCTCTTGGTATCTCCAGTTGGAGCTGTTCCACTGCATGTGTAAATAATTGTATTAACTAGAACAGGAATTTGAAAGTTGGTCTCCTATATTTTCAGTGAGTGGCCCTGACTCTGGGGGCTGTGATGTCGGCCTTTCTCTTACTCTCTGTGGCCTTGTAAATATATTTTTTTAAAGTGGAGCATCTCCAACAGGAGGGACTGAAAGAGATGCATCCCAGGATACCAACTGCTTGTTAGTCAGATCACGTGCATAGCATGTGGATTTAGGTCTTTCCTCCACATCCAACAGAGGTAAGTGCCTTAACCATTGAGGCCATTGGCTATTCTGGCTTTCAGTCTCTGGCTTTTCACAAATAGGAGAGGAAAACAAATAATGAACTATCTAAGTGGCTGCCTTGGCTTGGTTGCATAGCTTCAGGAGAGGGCTCATGGCTCAGGTGAGGGGAAGTGCTGGGTCAGAGAAGACACCTAAGCTTTGTCCCTTTCCTTTGCATTTCATGCTTGGTTAACTTATGTGGCTCCCCACTCAGCTGGCTTTGGAGAAATGCTTCTGTAAGTGCCTTATTCTCCCCTAGCATTGCGTGGGGAGGCTGATTGCCTAACACAGGACTGAGAGTTCCACCAGGTAACGGGGCACCTAGGAATTAGGCATTGCAACACCTATAAAAGTGCCTTTGAAGATCTGGGCCTAACGGTTTCATCCCTATTGAAGTTAATGAAAGTATTTTCATTGACTTCAGTGGAATTTGCATCAAGCCTTACAAGCCAGACAGTGTTTCCCCTTTTATTCTGAGACCTGACAAAGAATGTCTCACATTTGAAAGCTTGTGTAGTACTATCCTAACTATACAGTTGGTCCAATAAAAGATATCACCCTAAGAAATCCTTGCCTCTCACATAATTTCTGGCCCATCATGGCTACAACTTCACCCTTACACTACTCTTTCACTATAGCACTTTATTCCCTTATCTGCACATCGTTATGTTCTGCTACCAGTTATATTAGCAAAAATGATAGTATTAATTGGCCTGCACACAGGAGTGCTGACTGGTGAGGAAATATTACAGCCAACAGTCAGGCATTCTTTTCCCATCCTGAAATTCGCTCTTGGCATCAGAGAAGTCTACTTTTATATCATGGGAACAACATCTGAAATCTGTTTCCATTGCCTTTTGTATGACTGCATTGAAGATTTACACATGGCTCAGATTCCTGGAACTTCAGATCACAGTCAAGGGGGGTCATTTTAATGGTCCAAGTAGAGACTGATTTCTAGAGCTATGGGCTTTTTATTCTCCTAAGTTATTGCAATTCTATTGGCATTGTTTGGTTTTGGTGTGCTGATGATGTGGACTGGTTGGTAGTATACTCTGGTTGTTTTTGATCTTAATGCAGACAAAATTCCAGCTGAAGTCAGTAGCCTTAAAAGGCACATAATTGCTATAAAAATTATCCTGGCTTATCCAGTAAACTAAAGCTAATTTTAGTTTAAACAAGAAGGCCTTGGGATTTCTGTCATTTTTAAATCTCTTGGGTTTTCAGTCAAGTGTCTTAAAAAGCATGCAGTTATGAAAGCCAAGTTTCCAGCAGGAAATTAAATATGATTGTTACTGTTTTCTTTTGCTCCATTGTATTTGCATAAATCTTTGGGCATGTTTCTTCATTCAGATCTTTTTAGTCGTACACTTTTCAGTGGAGGTTTGTTGTTGTTCTTCTTCTTTCTGGAATGTGTTGAAGTAGTGGTATTTTAATTGCACTCTCATACCCAAGTTCTGAACATAATGCAAAATCAGGGGAGTGTACCATAGTATCTGAACTGTTTGAAAAAACATAGGAGTCTCAACTTTTGAAAAATATTTTGGGGGACTTCATGATCTCTTGGGTTTAATCCAAAACCCACTGGGTGCATCTACACATGCGCTTTACTGCAGAGTTGATTTAACTCTGTGGTAAAGCATCACTATTTACATGTGTGCAGGCTTTAAGGTGCAGTAAATTAACTCTACCATGAGATAGTACTGTCCCCAACAGTACTATCTTATGTTAGAGTCATTTACTGTGCAGAAAGCACATGCAGACGGTGACTGGGACTGCAGCAGATTGAGCCACGGTGGAGCAGCCCTGGGCTAGCAGCAGGCTCAGGGGGTGAGCCACATGGCTTAGCACTTTGGGCACTCTTGTACCATAGCCTGTTGCCTGATGCCACTACCCAGAGCCAGGGGCTGACCCTTCCCAAGCCTGCTACCAGCCCAGAGCTGCTCCACCTTGGCTCAAACTTTTGTAGGCATGGGCACACATAAAGACACTACTCTTGGGAGCAGCTGACTCTGCCATGAACTGTGCTGGAGTTTATAGAGGCACACTAATTGCATGTGTAGATGCACCCACTGAAGCCATCTGGCTGGTGCTTTTTCTCTTCTCTGACCTCTATAAAGGAAAAGAACAAAATTTGAAGCATTTTTCTCAAAGCTGAAACAGCTCTTTGCAAAAATCACGAGTATGGAAAAAATAGATTGAGCTCAAATTACTTCATTTAGTCCTGTGAATAGTTACACTGCCTCCAGGATGCTGGTTTAGTCAAAGGGTTATCATTATGAAATCTCAGGAGACAGGATCCCACAGGGACAATGTGAACTTTGAGAGGAATATATTTGCAGACTTAAATGAGTATTTGAGTGTGTGTGCATGCATGCACACACATATGCCATTCTATTCCTTCAACTGTCAGCTCCTCCTAACTTCCACTGAGCATCAGTAATGCCAACTGAAATGAAAGTTTCTATTAAAACCAATAGGAGCAATTGCTGCAAGTAGAGGTTAAACCAGTTTCCAGAGTGGAGAGCACAAGAGGTAGTACGACTGATAGTTCAGTAAAAAAGAAATAGGGGTTAGATAATTAAGTGGTTCTTCCATGTTTCAGAAATATTCTTAATAAATAGGAGAAACATTTGAATAATGAATTTAATATGTTTAGCTTTTATTGCAAAATACCTCCTGTTCTGTCAACTGTAAGCAACTGCTACTGGTGGCTCTTCATAAGTGGAATGTAATAAAGTAATGGCATTTTTAATTATTTTTGCAGGTCTGATATACTGTCATGGCTTCCTGCTTCAGCATTTTTTGTTGGCATTATCTATGCAGGTTCCAGGGCTTTGTCTAGATTGGTAAGAAATGCACAAATGAAAATTAATTCCCGGTGCTGTATATTAAATAAAGAACATTTTCTTCAAGTCAAGTTTTTATACTATCTAGGTAGCATAGATAAAGTACCTTACTAGAAAGGAAAGACATGGAGCAGAATTGTCAAGCAATTGCAACTCTCACTGATTTCAGGGATAAGTGACAATACTAACCATCTCCCTGAACTAGTCAGCACCTTGTAGAAGAGAATGTGAGCAGTCTGTCAGATGCAAACAGTGACATTGCTAAAGGAGTTGCTAATTGTGATTTTTTGTAATTGTTTTTCTCTGCTGTGAAGTGTAAAAACAGAATATACAAAGACGTCAGTAGAAAAGGGTTATTAGGAAAAGGCTGCTTCTCTTTTACTGTAGTTTTACAGTTTTGACCTTTTTATGGGATTTGTATAAATAAGATGCAAGTTTTGTTTGGGAAGAGATTAAGAGGGTGAATAGATTGATAAGAATGGGTGGTTTAAATCAGAATAACCCACATGGGTGTGAGGGAGGTCAAATATGCTTTCAGGAATGTTGAATATCATTAATTTACATTGCCTTGCATAATTTTATTTCTTAATAATATTATGGCCTTACTTAAAAAATGGTAACATTTTATATTGACTGTCCAGTCATCAAGATCAGATGCTGTGCTGGCTTCCTCTATCAGTTTTGCCAGTATGTCCCAGTCTAAACTCAGGTCGCACATTTTCCATCTCCAAGTTGGCACATATAAAGTACATTAAAACCCAAGAAGAGCTAAGAGGGAGATCTCTGTGAAGAGCTGCCAGCACTGATCCTTCCTCAGACTCATTATATTATGCACTGGGGGAAGGAAGCAGAGCTTCCCTACACCTGTGGCAGAGGCTGTATGTCAGACATCAAACCCTAGGGCTAGGGACAGACGTTCAAAAAGCCAGAGCCTGAATTGATTCAATCTTTGCAGGTTAGTCTAATCTGCCTAGATTGAACCAATTTGCAAGTGAATTGACATTCCCTCTTGACTCAGGAAAGGCCGGCACATGCCTGCAGTAGCTCAGGCCACAAGCCAGTTGGTGCTAGAGCAGCCCTCAGCTGCAGGGAGGGCATGTCCAGCCCCAGCAGTAGCCTCAAGTAAATTGGCCACGGAAGGGGTTTAATTCCCCTCTCCCTGTCCCACTGGCACAGAGCCAAGCTAGGATCTGCCTGGTGCTTCCCCCTCGCTGCTGCAACAACAGGGATGGGGGCATGGCTAGACACTGGCGGGATGGCCCCCTGAAGTGAAGGGGGTGTATTCCCTGCTCTACCACTGGGGGACTGCTGCCAGAGTCTGCCAGTCCCAACTGCTGCCTCAGCTGATTGTTCCCTGAGCGGGGCGAGCAGCAGAATAAGCTCCTTCCCTGCCCCCTCTGCCAGATGCCAGAGGGAGGGGGCGAAGTAAGCCTAAGCCCCACGCAGTCTGTGCAGTCTGCCTGGCCCACTTCTACCCCCACCCACAGCTCAGTCCCACCTCTGGGAAGAGGCTTGCACTCCCAGGAAACCATGAGAGGGGTTGCTGCCCCCGTCAGGGTCCCTGCCCCCTCGCCACTCCAGCAGCAGGGGCCCCTTAGACAAGGGGAGCAGGGGGGCGTTATGTCCCCCTCCCTCCAGCATCTGATGGAGGGAGCTTATTCCACTGTTCACCCCATGCAGAGAGGGATCAGCAGAGGTAGCAGTTGTGGCTGGCAGACCCCAGCTGCAGTTCCCTGGGGGCAGAGGCAGTGGAGGGAGGACTAAACCTCTTTTCTGCCCCCTTTGCCTCTGGGGACCATGCCAGTTAGCATCTGACCATGCCCCCACCCCTGCCACTGCAGCAGCCAGGGAGGAACACCAGGTGGACCCCAGCTTGGGTCTGTGCCAGTGAGACAGGGAGGGGGGAATTAAGCCCCCTCCGTGGCCAATTCACTTGAGGCTACTCCTGGGGCTGGCTACGCCTCTGCTGCTGGAGCAGCAAGCGGAGAAATGCCAGGCAGGTCTGTGCTGATGGGATGGGAGGGAGGGGAAATAAACCTTTTCCCTGCCCCCTTCACCTAAGGGGGGGTTGGCATCTCTGCACACCCTGCCCAGGGCTGCAAAGCAGCTGGGATGCTGGGGGCTCTGGTTTAACTTAAACCAGGAAGGGGTCTGGTGCAGACATTCCATAAACCAATTTGGTCTCAATCAGTTTAGTCTGATACTACATTCAACCACGTTTATCTCAAACTGGTTTCAGCCATTTTGAAACTGGTTTATGTGCACTGACCTTATGTTCTGTTACAGATTTAAACCAGTTTCTGCTCATTTAACCCAGTTTATGTGTAACTTCTGTCCCTAGCCTAGGTGATCTTCAGGGAATTGGTGCAATTTGTAAAGAGGTCATGTGCTTACAGATTGGCTCTGCCTCCTCCTGACCTTTGTTGATGCCATTTTGGCTTTGCTGGGCTTCTCCTGCCTACCAAAGTTTACCACAATTCTTTAAGAAAAGGCTGTATAGAAACAATAGCAGTCTCTGGCTGTGTAGCCTTTCCTGCCTACTTTCCATGGGACAGAGGAGGAGGAAAGAGCATCCTCCACACTGTGCTCTTGACTCAGCCACTCCTCTTTTGAATGGGAATTGGGTAATCCTGTTTCCTACTTCGTGGACATGTGAATATCCAGGAGAGTGAGGACTGCTAGAAGGAAGGACAGGTGAGATCCCAGTTCTAGTTGGAGGATGCATATACATGCAGGGGGTTCCCTAAATCTTTCCTCTGTGCCATAAATCTTCCTATAAGAGACACTGCCAGTTGTACTCAAGGGTTTTGCAACATGCACAGATGGGGATTTAGGTCCAAATCCTCCAACAGTTAACGTATGAGAAGTTTATTCATGTGAATAGTTTCAACAGAGTCCTGGGCCCTAATTGGTGTATTGAGTCTTATATAGAGTGAAGTTGGCTCCTAAATACATGCTTTAGGCCCCTTCTACACATACAGGTAAAGAGCTTCCTCAGCACATTTTTTAGATCTTTTTTATAGCTGATTGGAGCTTTTTATTTTGTGATAGCTACTTTGTACATGTGTCTGGTAGTCAGGCAATTGTGCAATACCTGTACTGTGTGGAGGAGGCATCAGTGACTAAATTCACAACAAGCATACAACTTTGAATTAAGGAAAATTGATTCAACAAACCACTGGGATGAGGCCTGTTCACTTCAGCAGTGTATTTGGCCTTTGGATTCAACAGGTTTATTGATCAAGTAAAATGAACTTGATGTTCCAAGCCAAGGGTCCAAATCTACAAACACTTCTATGAGCAGCTTATGCACATAAGCATTTACATGTTTGAGCTCGAAATCCACATTTGTTTACATCAAAAGAGCACTGGCGGCACCTCCTGCTCAAGAAGCCTTTGGGCCTGCAACTGGAAGAAATTTGTCTGGGTCTGGACTGAGATGCATTGCTAGTACTATATGGTGGGGAAGTTTGCACTGAATCTAGTCTCACTGACTGGCTCAAGCCAGAAAATCCTTCCTTTCATGAGCATTAAAGCCACTCACAAATTTAAAAATATTTGCATCAAAGACAATAAACATATGGAGAAGGTTAACTGAGCTGGGCAAACTGGAGCCAATGTTTGCTCCAAAACGATTTTTTGGTTTTAAGAGAAGCCAACAGCAAAAAAAGAAAGAAGAAAGAAAGAAAAAAAGGCAAGAAAAAAAAACAGAGTGAAGAATGCAAATTTTGGTGTCAACTTTTGTTGTATATCATTATTTCTGCTGTTTCCTTTTATTGTGTTGAGCTTGCAGAAATCAAAGTCCAGCTGTAGGGTCAGGAATTGTTGTTATGTTAACAGTGCCAGTGAAAAAGCAGCTGACAATTTGCTGTCTCACTGCACTTTCCCCCTAACCCATTTTATGGCTAGTTTAAAGGCATCTAAAATTATCATTGCGATTGCATATATGTTACATTTGTAGCTCCATCTGAATTGTCATTTATAATGAGAAATGCTTTAGCAATGATAATATGTCCAGCTATGCATGAAAGAAAAACAAAATCCAGACACACAGATTTTTGGCTTCTTTGCGAAGTAAAACCAAAGATATATTTGGTGCTTATCTATCATCTGAGGATCTTGAAAAAATGAACTTGTGTTTATATTCATGTGAGGGAAATAAGTATTTCCCCTAGACAGGAGAACAGTCCTCAGGAGATTTAGGTTGCCTTAGGCTTTGGCTGTCTATTTGAGATACCTCAGGTCTGAGTTTCACTAAGTTTAATGCAATTCTAATTGATCACATTTGAAGTTGAGAGAGCCCAGCACATTAGCTCTGTAGTCTGAGTCATTAAGAAACATATTGTGATAGCAGCCAGAGGCCCTTGGTCACCGTTGGGTTCATAGGCATCATCCCAGTACTGCTTGGGGGTTAACCATTACGTACCTCTCTCCTACTCTGTGGCAGCTCTCCTCAAAGACACGGACAAGCTGTAAAACTCTTTCCTATGGTGTAACTGAGCACACTATAAGTAGCACCCAAGTTTTATATCAATAGACAGGAATGGGAAAATGACTAAAAATGGCTGAGTGTAGTGAATTAAGGTGCTAATTTAGATCATCATTTATCTTTTCTATGGCAGTCAATTCCTGTGTTCCTTACTGTACACAATGCAGCTGAAGTTGTTACCTGTGGATTCCAGAAGCTTGTGCAGAAAGAGGTAATCAATATGTGAAAGGCCAGGTCTCATAATGTAATTGCACTGTAACAAGATGCTTTGGTTCTTTTAACATATAATTAGTACTGCATGCTTTCCTAGCTGTGCTATGGTTGCCAGTCACTAATGAATCCCAGAGAGAGCATCTACTGCTGGCAGATATCCAGTTATTGACCTTTTTCTTGATGTGGCGAGAACTTTGAAGCTACATTGATGGTTTGAGCTGTGTATTTAAGACTGATTTGGTCCTGCTGACTTATTCCTTTTGAAAATGAAAATCTCCTCCTCTTAATGTCAGATGTAACAGCTTGATTCTTTAACCTTAAAGGGAAGAGGATTGGACCCTTAGATCCTGCCATTATAGCACCTGTAGTAATTTAACAAATTGTGTTAGTGTAGATGACAGCTCACCACGATTTGGGGAAAAAACATTTTAAGAAAACACAATTTTTAAATCTGATCCAACCTCAACTAGAGTCAGAAGAAAAATTCCTGTGTATGTTAACAGGGTTGAATTTACTCTTTGTGAGGTGCACTGGTAAGATGTCAGACTGATTTTTTTCTGGTTTTCCAGCTAGAGAGCTGCTGTGTATGATGACACTGGAAAACATAACAGAAGGCAGACTCCTCTAATGTGGCCTATTGTTAAAGGGATTTTTCATTCATTACATCTGTAGTATGTGTAATCAAAGACAAAAAGGGAGTGCTGGGTGCTACTAATAAATGGATGGTACAGACACAGTATGTTTACTCTAGAGTAATTTGTCCTGTATTTTACTCCTCATTAAATTTACTCTGTAGTAAGAAATAGACATATGGCCAGTTCTTACCAGCTGGCTGCCTGAAGTACATGCATTTATAGTGTCTGACCACTAGGTTTGTATTGAGCAAATAGTTAACTTCAGAATGAAATACAGGTAGCAAATACATGACAGGTAGACCAGAGTAACTTTCTCTGGTAGATATTTACTTTTGACTTCTTCAGAAGTAAATTTACTCCAGAGAATGGAATTTCTTCTGGAATAAATGATGGGTGTCATGTATACTCCCCTTTTTATTGCCAGAGTAAATTAAAAATACTCTGGGGTAAATGTGTTGTGTGTGTCCACGCCATGAAGCTCCATAATTTGATTAGTAAAATATGTCTCGGTGCTATAGAACATCCAGAATTTTGACTGAGTTCAAGATAAAAATTAAGCCAAGGTTTGAAATTCCTGTTTTTCTTTTGGTTATAGGATGAAAAATAACTTTGAAATTTCAAGCTGGGGGTGCTGAACCCCATGGACCAGATCTGGCCTGTTGAGCCATTTCATTTACCCCACTAGGCTCCCCATGGGTCCAGAAATTTGATGGCAGGGGAGTGGTGGTAGCATTAATTGCCGTTCCCCTGCGGCCACATTTCCAGACTTGTGGGAAGCCCAGTGGTCCAGATAGCATGGTCCTGCGTGTCAAATCAGGTGTGCAGGGCTGGGGTGGTAAGAGGCAGCGTGGAGCCTAATCCAGGCAGGTGGGGCCAAGTCAAGGCATTGTGAAGCTCAATCCAGGTATGTTGATCCCATGAAGAATCTGCCCCAGGAACTGGGCCTGCACCACTTATCTGGCCCATGGGGGCTGGAAGAACATAAGAACTACCATTTACTGTGTCGCACCTCAGCTCCATCTTGCCCAGTATCATGTGTCACAATGGCAGAGAGTGGATGCTGAAAGTGAGAGTGTACAGGGTATGACCAGGATTTTCCCGTTTTTCTCCTACTTGCAGCCTCCAGCATTTAAGGTCTCAGCAGTTCTAGTTCAGAGGCTGTACCCCTAACTCCCATTTTTAATAACTATCAATGCTCCTTTCCTCCAAGAATTTGTCCAATCCCCCCCGGTTTTTTTTTAAATCTGGCTGAAGTATCAGGTTAAACAACACCTGGTGGCAATGAGTTCTATAATGACATGCTGTGTGATAAAGAACTTCCTTTTGTTAGTTTTAAACCGACTACCTACTAGTTTCATTTTATGACCCACTAGTTTTTGTATTGTGAGATGGTGAATAGTAAATCCCTATTTACTTTATCTTCACCATTTAGTATTTTGTAAACCTTTATGTCCCCCCTCAAGCATCTCTTTTTTTAAACTGAATAGGTCTAGCCTGTTTAGTTTCTTCTCAAGTGAAAGTCCCTCTATACCACTAATCATCCTTATTGCCCTTCTATGTTCCTTCTCTAGTTCTTTTATATCCTTTATCAGGGGTGGGGATCAAAATTGGGCACAGTATTCAAGGTGTGCACCATGAATTTATAAGGGACCATAATGATATTTTCTGTTTTGTTTACAATCCCCTTCTTAACTCCTAACATTTTGCTCAAAGAATTTTTTTTGCAACTATCTGGTTGGTCTAATGAAAGATATTGCCTCTACCACACTGACTGCTTTTGCTTTTAGACCAACACGGCTGCAACCTTTAACCCTATAACATTCTGTTTGCCTTTTCCATGGCTGCTGAGGACTGAGGGAATGTTTTTGGCACAGTGTCCACAATGATTCCCAGATCTCTTTTCTGTGTGGTAACAGCTATGTAAAGCCCATCGTAGTGTAGGTATACTTCGGATAATTTTTTTCCTCATGTGCATCACTTTGCACTAATCTTCACTGAATTGTATCTGCCACTTAGTTGCCCATTTACTCCATAGTACAAGAACCTTCTGTAGCTCCTCACAATCCACCTTGGTCTTCATCACTTTGAATAATGGTTTGTCATCTGCCACCTATTTTTCCAGACCATTTATGAATATGTTAAACAGCTCTGGTCCCAATATAGATCCCTGGGGGACCTTGCTGTTTACTTCTTCCTGTCCTGAAAACTGACCACTTGTACTTACTTTTTGTTTTCTGTGCTTAAGTCAGTTTCTAATGCACAAGTGGATCCTCCCTGTAATCCTGTGACTGCCCAACTTAATTAAGAGCCTTTGATGGGGGACTTTGTGAAAGGCCATTTGGAAGTCCCAGTATGCTATGTCAACTGGATAACCTTGATCCAAAAGCTTATTGACACCCTCAAAGAACTCTAGGAGGTAGTTGAAGCATGATTTCCCTTTGAGAAAACCATGCTGATTCTTCCCCAGCATGTCACAATCATCCATGTGCTGAACAATTTTTAAAAAAATTATTATTCCTACCAGTTTTCCAGAAACAAAAGACTCATCAGCCTGTAGTTCCCCTCTAGAGCTCTTTTTCAATATTGGAGTCACATTGGCAACCTTCCAATACTCTGGTATAGAGGCTGTTTTTAGTGATAGGTTGTGTACTGTAGGTAGGAGTTTAGCAGTTTCCTAGCTGAGCTGCTTCAGGACTCTAGGGTGAATGCCATCAAGTCCTGGTGATTTGCTACCGTTTAGTTTCTCAATTTCCTCTACAACCTCATCTACTGAAACCTCAGTTTGTGCCAACTTGTCAGACTTGTCCCTAGAGAGAAGTGGATCTGGTGAGGGAATCTCCCTAAGATCTTCTACAGTGAAGACATATGCAAAGAATACATTAAGTTTCTTGACAGTGGCCCTGTTATCCTTTAGCATTCCCCTTGCACTCTGATCACCCAAAGGCCCGCTTTACCCCCAGGCAGATTTTCAGCTTCTATGTACTTAATAATATTTTCATTGTTACCTTTTATGTCTCTAGCAAGTTTCTCCTCAAATTCCTTCCTAATTTGTTTTATTACAGTTTTACATTTGATTTGCCAGAGTTTGTGCACTGTTGTTTATTTTTCTCATTAGGAAAAAGGTCTGAGTGCCACTGACTGGTTTAGGCCACCCTGTGATCATTCTCTTCCAAATGGAGCTTCCTAGGTAGAAGCAATTGTCTGTTTAATGTTGTTTGCCTGTTGGGCAACAGTTGAGCATCAACTACAGTGGTTTTGTTTGCCTTTTGGGAGACTGTCATAAAACTTATTTTATTATGATTTCAGACATTTTGCTCTCTTTTGTCACAATATTAGAGTGACTTAAAAAGTATTTGTAATTTATCTTCCATCTTAACACACAAGAAGTCTTTCAGTGATGAAACATTTATAACACTTTCTTTCTTTTTATGCAGCAGGCCTCTTTCCTAAAAATCTGTAGGTAAGTTTTATTTTTTCTTCTTCCCTAAGCTATTCAGATGTGGAGAATTGTCTTGTCTTGACTGCTTTCTGTAGATGCTTCAGGTAATGGAACATGAAAATAATGAAGAGTTTAAGAAACATTACTGTGGACATTAGCCCCAAGCTGCTACATTTACACCATTAAATCTCTTCTTGCATATATTCATTATTTTAAAACAATTTACTGGCATAGATATTTTTTCTTTGTTAAAAAAAAAAAGCCAAAAGGCCAAAGTTCATGAATAACAATTCATTGCATGGAGAAAAAATGTCTTTGGAAAGAAAGTAGGTTTCATGCTTAAGTTTCCAAACAATCCTAAAAAAAGAAAAAGAATGAAGCTTTAGAGTGGTGAAGAATGAACAAGAATGTTCTTTCAAAAAAAAGCTCCCAGTTCTACCACCCTTATTTACCTTAACTGGCAGAATCTGAGCTATAATTCTCTATAAGAGAGTGAGAAATAGAGAAAACACCCTCACTCACTCAAAAAGCTAGGTATTCTCTCCTTTCCCCAATGTCTTGAAAGACTGAAGTAGCCACTATGGCCACGGTTAGATGAGCCACATACTGCAAATTTAGTTGTTCTCTGCACTGTAAGGGAGCAGCACAGGGGGTTTTCTTGAGCCTTAGATACCCATTTCTGCTCTCTTTTTGCTGTGGTTCTTTCCTCTCAAACAATCAGCAGTGCCCTTTCCCCTCCCCGTGCTGCTGATTGGCTGAGGGGCAAAAACCTACAGGAAAAATAAGAGCAGAAATGGTATCACGGGATGCTGCCACACTTTCGGTAGGTTGCAGGTAAAATGCAAATTCCATTTTTCCATTGTGAACACAAAACTAGGATCCCTACTTATCACTCCTGCCTGTTTTTAGGTTTTTTGGATTACCCAGATTCAGGCAGGAGTACATGCTCTTGCTGCAGGTGTTTCCTGTCTGGTTCCACACAAAGCACATGGGGCTGTTTCACCCTGTTACACTGCTGGCAGCACCCATTGCGTGGCACCTCTGAAAAGCTCTTGAGGCACCTTTCAGTGTTGCAGGACCCTGATTGAAAACCATTGATTTGAAGAGATGAATTTGAGTCTTGCTGCAGACTCATGCTAAAGGCTTTCCTCGGTCACCTTGGGAGCCTGTACACATGCATCAAGACTGCTCTGACATGCTGTAATTAAAGTGCGTTGAAGCAGACTTGATTTCATAGATTTCATAGACATTAGGGCT